TGTCATATCCACTTGTCCTGCCTATAATGTAGATATCTATTCCATCTTTCTTGCTACCAAACTCTGATGGTGCCCAGATTGTTAACTCGCAAAGAAGTGAACACCATTTCCAACTCAAAGGACCAAGTCAGTCACTGATCTTTACTATTCCCTTTGCTTAGGGTTGGTAAGAGGGTATCCAATGAGGTATGGGAAATACGATGTTCTTCAGGAAGAATTGTTTACTCTTAAAAATCTACCATAGCAACTTTCCTACTGGCTTTTCCTCCCATGTCTGTATGTCATTTTTGTACCAGATACTGCTGAAAGAGTTTGCATACATTAGTTTATTGAATTTACCTAATAGCTTATAAAGAAACAGAACAGATATACGTAAAGCAGTAGAGAAAGGATAAACCTGTTGCCTGGGGTCGACGCTGTGGTGCAGGGAGTTAAAGCCCCTTCCTGCAGTGCTGGCAATCCATTTGGGCACTGATTCAAGTCCCAGCTGTTCCACTTCTGATCCAGCTCCTTGCTAATGCACCTGGGAAAGCTGCAGAGGATGCCCCAAGTGCTTGGGTCCCTGCACTTAGGAGACCGGGAAGAAGCTCCTAGCTCCTAGATTGGCGTGGCTCAGCCCTGGTTGCTGCAGCCATTTCAGGAGTGAACCAGCATATGGAAGACCTCTCTCTCTCTCTCTCTCTCTCTTCTCTTCTCTCTCTCCCTCTCTCTCTCTACCTCTCTTATAACTCTACCTTTCAAATAAATAAAATAAATCTTAAAAAAAAGAATAGGGTAGAAGCCACATTGCATGACAGAACATAAATATGTGATAGTTCATTTAAAAAAAAAAAAGCCTCTTGCCCAAGGTTATTCAAAGTTAATATTATGGGCAGTGACTTTGAAAGACCCCATGCTTCCAAGGAACTACTCTTGTCTCAATGATTGACTGTTTTTGTCTCAAAATTCTTAGTAAATTGTGAACAAGGTACGCTACATTTTAGCTTTGTACTAAGCCTTGTAAATTATGTTTGTGGTTCATCTTTGTATTTGAGACTGGGTTGCCCGTCTCTGCGGAACTTGCTGTTAATCACTACACTCTGCTTCTCTCTCTCTCTCTCTCTCTCTCTCTCTCTCTCTCTCCATACACACACACATATATATATTTCTCCCTTTTTCCATGTGTGTGTGTCTCTTTGAAATAAATGAAGATTAGAAAAATAATTACCCAACCAAAAAGCAAATATTTCCTAGTCTAGTAAATGAATTAATGCTATAAAATTCTTTTGCTCACTACATATGCTTTTTAAAAAAATGTTCATATTGGTTCCTAGATGATTCATTTTTCAAAATGAAAGTGATATTTAAAAAATCCACTGAGAAGCTTAGTATATCTCATATTAAAATGCCAATGGAATTTGTCAGTGATTTATGGGCCTGTAAATTAAACTTTGTATGCTTAGTAAAATTTGGCCATGATGCCAATTAATTGGAATGAGAACAAAATAAGATTGAATAAAACATGGACTCGTCAATACCTGGACTGCCATGTGCTCCACGTAAGAATTGGCATTTGGTGCAATGTTGTATTATTGATTGAAAGTTATCTTGGCATGTGTTTTTCAAAATCAATAAAGCATAAAATATTAGAATTTAGATCCTTTTTTATAGTCAAGGAAACTAAAGCCTACTACATTCACAGTGAAGGGCATTTCTTTTTTTTGTTTTCAATTCAAGAAAGAATAACCAATTAAAGAGAAAATATCATGTCACTTATGTTAGAAAGTAAGAACTCTGGATCAAGTCATAATCATACCTATACAACAATGAGCTCTTCTGAAATTCTAATTATGCATCACCTGATATACCCTTATGTGCTCTACATCCATCCCCAACCCCACTTTCACACACAACAACCATGCATTTTGGAAAAAGAGCATGGGATCCTTATTTAATAATGATATTTGAAATTTTGGAATTAAAATATTGCCCCATTAGTGGGTCAACTCATTCTTCCTTATGTTAATATGAAAGTTGAGCCAAGAAAGGGAAGGAAGGAAGGAAGGAAGGAAGGAAGGAAGGAAGGAAGGAAGGGGAAGAAAATTGAAGGGAGGGAAGGTGTAAAATGTCATTATTGCCTACAATTGCTTATATTAAATACGTGAAATCAATTTCATTTATGTAAATAAATTTTAAAAATTGAATTGAGCAAGAATATACAGAATCCAGCTATATTCCAGATCAAAGCTGGTGGCAGAAGTTCAGCTGCTGTGATTGGCTGAGACTCAGTTGCTTGTCTGCAAGAGTATACTCTTTCATTAGATTACAGTTTGCCTGCACAGCAAACTAGGTTGTAGTTCGCCATATATGGAGGCCACTTTGGCCTACTTATTTAAGTAGGAAGGCTGGCTCAGGCCAAAATGATTTTCGTTCAGAACTATATCCTCTCTGTGTGTCCTAAATATTTCAATATAGTTACATTACTCTGCTACATTGTAAGTTTATATTCAGGATAACTACATTAAACTGCTCTTCACAAAAATGAGTTAAAATATTAGCATATTTTGAAAATTAATAACAGTTGCTTTCACATATTAAAAAACCTTATTTCTCTCTTTATAATGGTAATCAACTACTTGTAATTAGAATCCACTTTCCTTCATTTATCAAACTCTACCTTACTGAAAATGACAAATTGCCCTTGACAATTTGAACAAACAAGAAACAGTCATAAATATGAAAATTCTTGTTTCTTGAAGACATTGGGGAATTTTTGTATTTTTAACTATCATTTATTTCAAGATATCATACCCACTGGATCTTGTTGACTTCTTTTGAGGTACATATTTTTTCTGCTTATTCGTAGAAAGAAAACTATTCTTTTGGATTCATTTTCGGGTATTTCATCAATCTCTTCATCTTCTCACTCTAACATTGAAGTGTTGTTATACTCCTTTTGGAGAGTCACGTTGTCTTATTTCTTGTATTTCTGCAATTTTTAGGCATTTGTGGAAACACTTGCTGGTTTTCTCCTCTGATGGCTTTTATCTTTGAACCATGCCTCTGTGGCTTAGTAGAGTGTCTACTCCTTTAGTGAATATCCAAAGGTGTGTGCTGAGTGGGGCCAGGGAGCTCTAGTCGGTGTTCAAGGGTGGAGTGAGAATCCAGGGTGGCACCCAATTTAGGTGGTAGAACTCTTCTATTGTCAGCAGAGGGGAGGGCACAATCACACCAGTTGGCATAATCAGAACTGGTCACCTCCTCTCTTCCAAGGTGATCAGTGCCCAGGGTTAGCCCACTGTGAGTGCAACCCCTAGCCACAATGGCACATGAACTACAAAAAGGATCTCTGTGGTCCTCAGTGTGAGCATGGAACCCTCTGCAGTGACTCACCCTAGGCAGTCAGGGAGCTCTGAGCCTCTGACTTCAAAGTGATTGTCTAGAGACCTAGCTGCACCCTGCACCCTATTGCACAGTCACAGAATTCTCAGTCACAGCACGCAAGGTTTCCACAGTCGTGGACGCAGAGATTCACTCTCAGTCTTGCTAGCCGGCCCCATCCACAGAGAGAGTAAAGATGTGCCCAGAGCAGCTACCTGTGGGTGCTCCGCCTTGGCAGTTTGAGCCATGGAGCCGGTGATAGGTTGACAGGATGGAAAAACTGAACTGCCCTCCTACGTGGGTACCCAGCCCTCTGTCAAGCCTCCCAGCAAGATTCAAAGTCAGTGGGAAATGCACATTTCTCCCTCTGGTAAAATCCCTTGATCAGGTGTGCTGGTGAGAGCTGCCATAGCCTCTATTGGCATCCAGATGGCTCCTTCTCCCCACCAATTGCCAGGCCACCTTTTTGGGAGATGGAGAGAGAGAAATGTTCTTTTCCTTTACTGGATTAGATGGGTACCCTGCACCCCGCTAGGACTCCAGGCGGGACTCATAGTCATTGTGGTCCTCAGGTAATATCACCAGTGGCAAGGGATGTCACAGTCTGCTCAGCTGGCATCTCCTCCAGGGCCCAGCTGCAGGAGCTAGAGTGGTTCCCCGCTTGCTGTTGTGTGTCAACACTTTCCACACTGCTCCACAGCATCCCTCTTCTTTAGGTAGAATTTCCACTGCCAATTTCTCTCCAACTCTCCCCTGGGAATGCACTTCCTTCACTTTCCCCTAGTCAAAATAAGCTTGTCTTTTCCCTATTCAGCCATCTTGAAATCTACAAAGAGCTCAAGAAACTAAACAACTACAAAAGAAACAATCCACCTAAGAAATGGGCAAAGGACTTCATCAGGCATTCTTTCAAGAGAGGAAATTCAAATGGCCAATAGACACATGAAAAAATGCTCAGGATCACAAGCCATTAGGGAAATGCAAATCAAAATCAGTCAGGTGCCAGCGCCATGGCTCACTAGGCTAATCCTCCTCCTTGCGGCGCCTGCACACCGGGTTCTAGTCCCGGTCGGGGCGCCGGATTCTGTCCCGGTTGCCCCTCTTCCAGGCCAGCTCTTTGCTGTGGCCTGGGAGTGCAGTGGAGGATGGCCCAAGTACTTGGGCCCTGCACCCCATGGGAAACCAAGATAAGTACCTGGCTCCTGCCATCGGCAGCGCGGTGCGCCGGCTGCAGTGTGCCGGCCGCAGTGCGCAGGCCGCGGCGGCCATTGGAGGGTGAACCAACAGCAAAGGAAGACCTTTCTCTCTGTCTCTCTCTCTCTCACTGTCCACTCTGCCTGTCAAAAAAAAAAAAAAAAATTCAGGTTTCTCCTCTCCCCAGTTAGAAAGGCGCTCATACAGAAATCAGCAAACAACAAATGCTGGCGAGGATGTGGGGGAAAAGAATACTCTAATCCAATATTGGTGGGAATGTAAACTAGTGCACCATTTTGGAAGACTGTGGAGATTCCTCAGAGATCTGAAAACAGATCTATCGTATGAACCAGCCATTTTACTCTTGGGAATTTATCCACAGGAAAAAAATCAGCACATTAAAAGATTCTCACAGAATTCTTTTTTTTTTTTTTTGATTCTTTTTCTCCTCTTTATTTATTTATTTATTTATTTTTTTTTAACTTTTATTTAATGAATATAAATTTCCAAAGTACAGCTTATGATTACAATGGCTTCCCCCCTATAACGTCCCTCCCACCCGCAACCCTCCCCTTATCCACTCCCTCTCCCCTTCCATTCACATCAAGATTCATTTTGGATTCTCTTTATATACAGAAGATCAGTTTAGCATACATTAAGTAAAGATTTCAACAGTTTGCTCCCACACAGAAACATAAAGTGAAAAATACTGTTTGAGTACTAGTTATAGCATTAAATCTCAATGTACAGCACACTAAGGACAGAGATCCTACATGAGGAGTAAGTGCACAGTGACTCCTGTTGTTGACTTAACAATTTGACACTCTGGTTTATGGCCTCAGTAATCACCCTAGGCTCTTGTCATGAGCTGCCAAGGCTATGGAAGCCCCCTGAGTTCACTGACTCTGATTATATTTAGACAAGGCCATGGTCAAAGTGGAAGTTCTCTCCTCCCTTCAGAGAAAGGTACCTCCTTCTTTGATGACCCGTTCTTTCCACTGGGATCTCACTCGCGGAGATCTTTCATTTAGTTTTTTTTTTTTTTTCCCCCCAGAGTGTCTTGGCTTTCCATGTCTGAAATACTCTCATGGGCATTTCAGCCGGATCCGCATGCCTTAAGGGCTGATACAGAATTCTTTTTTTTTTAAAATTTATTTTTTATTTGAAAAAAATACACAGAAAGAGAAAGAGAGGCAGAGAGAGAGAGGTCTTCCATCTGCTGGTTTGCTCCCCAGTTGGCCACAGTGGCCTGAGCTTCCCTGATCCCGAACCAGGAGCCAAGGAGCCAGGAGCCAGGAGCTTCCTCCAAGTCTTTCCATGCAGGTGCAGGGGCCCAAGGACTTGGGCCATCTTCTACTGCTTTCCCGGGCCATAGCAGAGAGCTGGATTGGAAGTGGAGCAGCAGGGACTTTAACCAGTGCCCATTTGGGATGTCGACACTGCAGGCAGTGGCTTTACCTCTATGCCACAGTGCCAGCCCCCTCACAGAATTCTAACAAGGAGAATGCCAGCAACCATGGAGTGGGTAGGGCAAAGATCAGGAACTGAAGAGCTACCCAGGGCTGCTGCATTTATTTGCTTCCAGCTCAATAACGCAGCCCAGACATGTGATGTATTCTTGGTCTCTCAATTCCAAATTCCCAGGAGAATCTGATTGCCTGAATTGAATCACATGCCCACTATGGAACTATTAACCATTAGACAAGAGGAAAGTTCACATGGTTCCAGAGTGACTGATGAGGTTTGTCCTCTATGAAGGAGTAGGTCCTCTGAAAGAAAGACACAAAGTTGGCAGATAATCCATTGTCCATGCTAGCACTGTGCTTGATTGCAGTTACAATAACCATAACACACCCTTATCTATGAGGCCAAGGGTCATTACAATATGCTGAATCATGCCCCACCAAAACTCATATGTTGAAAGTCCTAGCTTCAGTACCTTAAGAAATTACCTTATTTGGAAATAGGATCTTAGATAGATATTCAAGTTAAAATGAAATCATTATTATGATCAACACGGCTGATGTTCTTTTAAAAGGAGGACATTTATACACAGATATGCACAGAGGGAAGCAAATATGGAGACACAGGGAGAGCACATGAAGATAGTCATCTATAGGCTAAGGAGGGGAACCTAGAACAGATCTTACCCTTAGAGCTCTCAGAAAGAACCAACTCTGACAACATCTCAGTTTTAGACTCCCAGCCTCCAAAACTGTGAGACATTGTGTATATTTTACTTCTAGTAGTCTAAGATTAATTAATTTGATAATGGGAAATGTTATAACAAAGCCATTTTAAGCATTACTACTTTCTTTTTTTTTAACTTTTATTTAATGAATATAAATTTCCAAAGTACAGCTTATGTATTACAATGGCTTCCCCCCCATATCGTCTCTCCCACCCGCATCCCTCCCCTTTCCCACTCCCACTCCCCTTCCATTCACATGAGGATTCATTTTCGATTCTCTTTATATACAGAAGATCAGTTTAGCATACATTAAGTAAAGATTTCAACAGTTTGCTCCCACACAGAAACATAAAGTGAAAAATAATAGATGATTTTTTAAATGATGATGAAATCAGATCAGACCTATTGTCGTGTTTAATCCCAGTGAGAGTCAAGTTGGGAATTGATAATTTCTTCTTTTTTTTTTTTTTTACAGAAGATCAGTTTAGTATACATTAAGTAAAGATTTCAACATAATGAAAGGACTAAGAGTCAAAGGAAACACATAAACAAGTCTAGTACCTGCTAATACTAACCGATAGAATAAATAAAGGGGAGAGTGATCCAACATGGGAAGCGAGATACTCAGCAGACTCATAGAATGGTGGATGTCCTAAACAGCACTCTGGCCACAGAATCAGCCCTAGAGGCATTCCAATCTGGCTGAAAAGCCCATGAGAGTATTTCAGGCATGGAAAGCCAAGACACTCTGGCAAAAAAAAAAAAAAAAAAAAAAAAAAAAAAAAAAAAAAAACCCTAAATGAAAGATCTCTGTGAGTGAGATCCCAGTGGAAAGAACAGGTCTTCAAAGAAGGAGGTACCTTTCTCTGAAGGGAGGAGAGAACCTCCACTTTGAATATGACCTTGTCTAAACAAGATAAGAGTCAGTGAACTCAAAAGGCTTCCATAGCCATGGAAACTCATAACTGGTGCATAGGGAGATTACTGATGCCATAAACAGGAGTGTCAATTTGTTACGTCAACAACAGGAGTCACTGTGCACTTACTCCTCATGTAGGATCTCTGTCCTTAATGTGCTGTACATTGAGACTTAATGCTATAATGAGTACTCAAACAGTATATTTCGCTTTGTGTTTCTATGGGGGTGCAAACTGTTGAAATCTTTACTTAATGCATTACTACTTTCACAATGATACGTTAGAGAGGCAGAAAGAAACCGGACATCTTCAACTCACAGTGGCAAGACAGCTGAAGTTCATAGTACCACTTGCTTTAAAGCTTAATTATTTTTTCAACTCTGTTATAATTGATTTTCCTCTTATTTCTTAGAACTTTTCTGTTCTTTCAAGTGAAGAGTTTAACAGTCCAATGATTAATAGAAATATTTTTAACATTCACGGAACTTAACAATATCCTTTTATTACATTATACAGAAGTACACTAAAACACATTTAAGACAAAACTACCATTCCCCATTAACTCTAGCTTGGGGCTATTTATGATAACTTGGTGAACACTGAAGATTGGATATCAGCATCACAGGGCTAGTTTGTGTATACACACACACACACACACACACACACACGGAATGTACTTGATCTAATTTAACTGCACTTACTGACCTGTGACATGTTTTTACTGCTGTAATAGTAAAACAGGAGCCCTTTCATCTCTACGCCAGATAAAGATTCAATTATTGAGTCTGTTACGCTTGACATTATAGAGATTGCCTGAGAGATTTTTATGGGAGATTTTTGTGTGGCCACTCCCTTGAAATCCACAGTGAAACTTGATCTTGCACAGTGGGTTTCCACCACTATGTCTTCACAAAAGCTCAGATAACTATAATGTAGTTTCACTGGTTGCTCAGTTGAATTTAAACCAGAAACAAATATGATATTTTCAGAAAAAAAATTAAAACTACATTCACTGTACTAGTCCACTTTTTTTGAACTGACATAAAAAAGTATGAAACTAAAGTAACATGCATTCTTACATGGTTAAACTATTTAAAGTTCTTTGTGTAAAAGTCCACTTAGTATTGAGTAAATTAATTAATGCCATTCAACAATTGAGCTAATATTTGTCTAGCATTGTAAAAATAGCTCCTGTATTTTCTCCTCATTTTTCTTCTCTATTAAATAATACTTAATACCTAGTACAGACACCGACAGAAAGACTTGACAAAGCAGTTGCTCTGCCAAAGCTCCCCTCATACTCAAAGCTTCTCTAGAGCTGATAATGTGCAAAAAAGAAACCCTCTCAGGTTAGCTTATATAAATAATTTGACTCATTATACTCAATGTCGCTAGCCATTTATTTGTAATGTTTAGAGTTTACACATTATAGAGAGCATATATTAATTTCAAATTGGTATTTAATCAATTGCCTTTTTACATCAGAACTCCATGTTCAAACTTCAGATGTTTCTGAAATTCTGATGTATTTTCCTTTTATTCCTTATATTTGAAGGTTCTTGCTAAAAATCTTAACAGTAGTTGGACATATTTAGGGTCTATAGTGCAATGCTTCAATCCATTTGTACAGCGTGCACTGATTAAATCAGAGAAGTCAACATGTCCCTTTCTTTGGCACAACTTTGTGATTGAAACTTAGAGCTCTTTTATTCTATTTTCTCATAAAATACACAATGGGTTATTGTGAATTATAGTCGCACCACTATGCTACATGACACAAAGGAAGTATTCTCTCCATCAAGCTCTGGTTTGGTTCCCCTTTCAGCTTCTTCCTGGATTCATCTTTTTCTCTTCTCCTTTCTTCACCACTCCCTTTACTCAGTACAATTTGTGATTCCCTTCTACTTTAAAAATGTTTGGGTTTTTTGATTCTTAGTGCCTATCCATAATGAGATTACCTTGTTTCTTGCTCACCTGTGTTAATACAGTAGCTGCCTAACTGGTCTTTTCTTATTGTATTTTCCAAAGAAATTCAATATTCTGTCTACCAACTAGAGTGGTCTTTATAAAAGGAATATGTGGCCCTTCCATTCTCTAAAAGTGCTGCATGGTTTGCCAATGCCTAAGGAATAAAGTCCACACTCTGTGGCATGGTATTCCATGACTTAAATTCTGGTCTGTTTGATTCTAATGCCCTGAAACTCCAATTCAATCTTCTTACGCCTCTACAGCTTCAAACTATTCACTGAGATATGACCTTCCACATCTTCAAATAGTTGTTGATGCCATTTTAAAAGTTAGAATGTATATATATGATGAGTCTCAAAAAGTTCATGGAAAATACATATTGTGAAGAAATGAGGTAAACACATATTTTAAATCTATCGACCGCAAATCTTTTATGTGCTGTCATCATTCATGGATATTTATTATAATATAAATATTTCTAGTATTATAGAAAAGTATGTCAAAATGCAGCAAATAAACCAACATTTTCCTACTAGATTGTAATTCTAGCCTTATTAAAAATGAAATTCCTCATACAGTTTTGATTGTAAATTTGGAGTCTTTAATCTTAACCACTCATCTATTCAATAAAAAACAGTTCTGTTGAAATTTATTCCTCCTACTAAATGGTGATTCCTTAATATGTGCATTTTTATATTTATTGTGTAATGTAGTAAATGACATTCAACATGTACCAATTATGTGTTTGTGTGATCATTTGTTTTCTCCATTAGACTGCAAGATCAATAGGATCAGAAAATGTTCCCTTTTGCTTCCACTGTATCCTCCCAGCAAAGGACCATCAGGAACACTATGGATATTTAAAAATGTGTTTGAAAAATCATGACTGAATGCACATTCAAATTCCTGAATTCTCAAAGTGTGAGACCAAACATCAAAATCATTATAGTATAGACATTTCACTCCTTTATATTTAAAAAAATGACAAAGGAATTTTAAATACTCGCTTTGTTCATATACTTTAGTGTTTGCTACTACTGATAAATACAGATCATCTATGCATATAAGTGACAGAAGATTCAAAGTCTACAAAGGAAATACCACTCTGTGTCCAGGAAACTATTTACAATAAAGACTCAAGATTGAGGATTTTCAAAACACCCTTCCTCTCACTGCCAAAATGTTCTGTATTTTCTGTCTACAGGTCCTATGATAACACTTTATTGTGAAAAGAAAGAGTAGCTATTTTTAGACAACCAACAGTTAACTGGATTTTCTCTTTAATAATAAGAATAATTTAAATTATACTAACAAAAGAGGTGTCTGGATAGAATATCACAACCTATAGGAAGCATTTTCTTTAAGAATAAATGCTAACACCATTTATCTATGCCATAAATCTCTGGAGTTCCACCTAATAAGAAGGGCAAATATATCCATGTGCTTTTTAAATGAGATCTTTCTGTGATTGTTGGATACTCTTCAGCACTCTGCTTCAATAAAATCTTTACAGTGGAAGATGTTAAAATCAACAAACACAATAAAAATTGAAACAAGTTTTACCTTTAAAATCTAGGTAAATATTTAACCTATGATTCTCAACCCACAGGTGATATTTTTTAGACAACTTTGTACAAAATTCTAATAATGAAAAAATAGAAATATGCTGAATGAATAGATGAATGAATGAATCAATCAATGAATCAATTATCTGATGATTAATCAGGTTGTCAATGAATTCAAGGCCTCCATTATCTGCAAACAAACATTTCAATTTATTACACTTCTTCCTTTGCTGACATTTGGGTGCCTTTCATTTCCATTTCTGTCAGTGGCAAGCCTTCCTGTCCTTTGCGGTATATCTGAAAGTCAGTCTGACAAAGTGATGAAGCCTCAAGTTCTGCATTCAAGACAAATCTAGTTTCACACCCGGTAAGTCACTTTGAAATGATAGGAGCGGCCGGCGCCGTGGCTCACTAGGCTAATCCTCCGCCTTGCGGCGCCGGCACACCAGGTTCTAGTCCCGGTCAGGGCGCCGGATTCTGTGCCGGTTGCCCCTCTTCCAGGCCAGCTCTCTGCTGTGGCCAGGGAGTGCAGTGGAGGATGGCCCAAGTGCTTGGCCCCTGCACCCTATGGGAGACCAGGAGAAGCACCTGGCTCCTGCCTTCAGATCAGCGCAGTGCACTGGCCGCAGCACGCTGGCCACGGTAAAGGAAGACCTTTCTCTTTGTCTCTCTCTCTCTCACTGTCAACTCTGCCTGTCAAAAATTAAAAAATTAAAAAAAATTAAAAGAATTAAAAAAAGAAATGATAGGAGCTTGAGGAAATTTTCTACAGTTAAAATTTTCAATCTATGAAACACAGATAATATTGATGTTGATCTGATTGGTTTGTGTTTAAAGGATAATAAATGTAAAATACTTATGACAAAGTTAAATTCTCAATATATATAATTAGCAATATTGGTGGGTGGCATTGACTTCATGAAAACTTCCTTGAAAATCATATCTACCAAACACATTGAAGTTACTAAAGATGTTTGTAGCTTAGAGTCAAATGGAGGACAGCTTCAAAATTCATATCTGAGGCCACACTAAAAACAAATAATCAAATCAATCTCTGTGGTCCAAAGGTAAAACAGACACACCTGTAATAGTTGAAGTTCCTTAGGTTATCACAATGTCACAAATTTGGAAACTATAGCAACCGTGTCTTCCCAAACTACTTGATCAGAAGATTACCTGGACTGTTAAATCATTGAAAGAGCCTCTACCTCAGAGCTCAGAATCTGAGTCTTCATGACACTGACACATGAATACACATTTTTTACACAACTTAGGTAAATCCCATGGTCAAGAAGTGTGGAAGCATGCGATTGTCAGTTTGCATGAGTTTCCATATGAGGTGCTCTTAATCATTTATAATCCATTCTTCAGTGCAAGAACAATGTCTCTTTCAACTTTATGTTTTCTAAGATACTACTTGCATGTATTGGGCATGCAATGAATCGAGATTGAATTGAATTAAGTAAAATAAAAGTGGAGTAAATATGATAAATGAAATTTTAATTAAACCATTTCTAATTTGTACTAAAAGGTAGCGGAGGACAATTAGTATCAAAAGAACAAACATGTGTACCCAGACTTGACATCTGAAAAGTGTTGGCATCATCTCAGCCTTGTCACCGCTAAGTCTCCACATCTTGGAAGCTCATTTTGCTTTGGAGGACCTCAGTTTCTTTCCACGTCTAGCGTGGTGCATATGCATTTAAGTCCTTTAAAATTGATCCTTATCCAGTGCCAGGCCAAGTATGAATGAGGAGAAGGTGAAGCTGTGTTTTCCTATTTTAAAGTGCATCTCTTAAGTATGCATTCTAGAAAAAAATTCATCGCTTTTCTATTGCCAGCCTTTCAGGTTTGTGTTGCTCTTCAGTGACTGCAGATGAAATGCGCTGAGCCCCAGTGCCATCGCCCTTCCCATCGGAGAGCAGCCTGCATCACTGCATTCTGCCAGTCTCACATATGTCCAAGCTTATTTTTATTCAGCGCCTTCGCGCTCACTGTCTGGTTTGTGATTTATGTGTCTGCTTTCTGTTTCCTGCCAGAACGTTTACTCCTCACCGGTCGGTCATTTTTCATCACTACAGATACACAGTCATCACCCTCATTGGTAAACCTCCCACCAAACCAAATGAAAAAATACTCTTTTTGCTGCTGTATTTAACTCCATCTCTTCTTACTTCTCAGTGAAGCTAGTTTTAAGATGAAAATGACCAGAATGAGAGAACAGATATAGGATGGTAAGTCTCCGGTCTTCCTACTCACAAATTATAACAGAATCAACCTCCAAAAAGACAGAATAAGTAACAATAAACTATTAAAGTATTTTTCATGGGTTATGCAGAAGAAAAACACATGATGTAATAAACTTACAAGAATAACTATAACTTCATCCACGTGAGAGACAATGTACATGTTAATATGTACAGCTTTTATGGTCAGTTGCTTTAAGTACAATTGTTACTGTTTCTATTACTTTTCAGAAAATGGCATATGCTGCAGTGGGCATTTGGCTCAGTAATTAAGACACCGCTTGGGACACTTACATCATATTTCAGAGATCTTGTGTTCTAGTCCTGGCTGTGCTTCTGACCCAGCTTCCACTAACGTGCACCCCAGGAGGTAACAGCTGATGGCCCAGGTAGTTGGGTCTTTGCCACCGACATGAGAGAATCAGGCATATTTTCAGATTCCTGGCTTCAGTCTGGCCCAGTCTCAGCTCTTAGGAAGATTTGGGAATGAACACAAAGAAGGTCTCTCTCTCTCTCTCTCTCTCTCTCTCTCTTTCTCCCTCAGTTTCAAATAAAATTAAAACAAACACATACAAAACTTTTAAGGATGCATATGCTTAAAATGGTTTAATTTTTAGTAATTCGTATAAAAGAGAAAATAATAATGATCAAAATGTAAGTAATATATGGAGTCAGCATATTTTAAAAATACAGAAAAATATAAAACTATTGTGCTGCAAGTACTAAAGAAGAACATACTTTTCTTCACTGCTCTTTTGGGAAAATGTAATTGAAAAGGTTATGGGAAAGTTAAATTTAATGATTAAGTGTAATCTGGTTTTCAAATAATAACCATTTCATTACAACAATTGATAGTCTAAATATTGAGTAGAGATTAAATATGTGTGATAATCCCTATAGATCATTCAACTACCCCCAAGTGACAATGAAACACAGACCAGAAAAGTAAATCATAAAAATATTTTATGATTATTCTGTTTCTGTATCCAGATGAAACTAACAGAGTGACTTTTCAGTAGGCCATCTGCAATATGATATGTGCCCTAAATTTGTGTTCAGTGCTGCTAAATCCTGTAGAAGATAAAGCAGAAGACGAAGAGGAGAGAAGAGCAATTCTCATTCCAATTTCTGAAATGCATATGAGGACTCATTACAAAGAATCACAGTTGAAGACACAGAGAACTGTCACAGTACATGATCCTGGGACAGATGGTTCTAATACACCCTGCAACTACTCAACCAACTGAGTCCAATTCCTACATCCACATGGGTGCTATTCCTTGGTTGGGGTAATGACTGAGCAGCTGTCCGATATTTCTGTAGTTTTCATTGCTCAAAACTATTTTGAAATACTTATTTTGGAAGTGATATGTATCTTCAATAAAATAATGTTTTGTTCGTGGTATGTCCTAAGATTTTAATCATTTTGGTAATACCTTGTTAGTATATATGTGTGTATGGATAGCAAACTGACTAGGAACATAGAATATGAGTAAAAAAGACATGAGTTTAAATCCTAATTCTACCAGTTCCTGTCTAAGATCTTGAACAAGTTATTTAACCCATGTACAAGTATGCATAAATTCCTTGTTCTCTTTTTACATAATTCTCAGAAAGATTTTGAGGGTTAAATGATTAGGTTCCTAATCATTTATATATGTATATGCATGAATATTATAGACATGTACATTTGACACCCTAGATTTTTGCTATTTTGTTATTATGTAACATATCCTTCTCTTTCAATTTTATTTAAGATATACAAATTCCATGTACTTTATATATGCAGTTTTAGGGACATAGTGAGACTTCCACCCTACCCTTCCTCTTAGCCTTGCTCCCACCCTTCTTCTTCCTCCTTATCCTATTCTTAAGTTTTACAAATATCTGCTTTTAGTTTACTTTATACTCATAAGATTAACCCTATACTAATAAAGTGTTCAATGAACAGTATGAAGATAAAAATACTGTTCCTCAGTGATAGAGACAAGGGTTGTAAATGATCATCCAATCGCAAAATCCATTTCACTCCTATAGATTCCCTTTTAGATACTCTATTAATTACCACAGATCAGGGAGAACATATGGCATTTGTCACTTTGGGACTGGCTTATTTCACTAAGTACAATGGTCTCCAGGTGCATCAATTTTGTTGCAAACCACAGGATTTCATATACACACACATACATATATATATATGAAATTATGGTGCATATATATATATTTCATATAAGATATATATATACCATAATTTCTTTATCCAGTCTTCAGTTGATGGACATCCTGGTTGATTCCATATCTTAGCTATGAGCTACAATGAATAAGGGGGTACAGATCACCCTATCATATGCTGATTTCATTTCCTTTCGGTAAATTCCCAGGAGTGGGATGGCTTGGTCACGTGGTAGGTCTATATTCAGATTTCTGAGGTATCTCCCTACTGCTTCCCACAGTGGCTGCCCAGTTTATATTCCCACCAACAGTGGATTAAGGTACCTTTTTCCCCACATCCTCTCCATCATTTATTGTTAGTTGATTTCTGTAGGAGAGTCATTCTAATTGTAATGAGGTGAAACCTCATTGTGGTTTTGATTTGCATTCCCAATCAAAATATCAACTATATTCTTCTCAGAGCTAGAAAATGATGCTAATATTTCCATATAAGTTTTATTATTTATATTTATATTTCCATATAAATATTAGCATCATTGGGAATGCTGAATCTGTAAATTGCCTTTGGTAGTATGGACATTTTGATGATATTAATTCTTCTAGTCCACAAACATGCAAGATTTTTCCATTTTTTTGTGCCTTCTTCCATTACTTTCTTTAATGTTTTGTAATTTTCATTGAAGAGGTCTTTCACCTCCTTAGTTAAATATATTCCGAAGTATTGAATTTTTCTTTATCTGTTGTAAATGAGATTGATTTTAGAAGTTCTTTCTCAGCCATGGAATTTTCTGTGTATACAAACGCTATTGATTTTTGTGTGTTAATTTATTTCCTGCCACTTTACAAAATTCTTCTATGAGTTCCAATGGTCTCTTAGTGGAGTCTTTTGGTCTCCCCATATATAGGAGCATGTCATCTGCAAATAGGGACAGTTTGAATTCCTCCTTTCCAATTTGTATCCCTTTTATATCTATTTATTGCCTAATGGTTCTGGCTAAACTTCCAGGACCAGAAAAGATCTTCACCATTAATAGTGTAGTCAAACTTTCATTAGTAAAACATAAAGAAAAGATTCTGAAATGTGCAATAGCGAAACTCCAGCTAGCTTTCATAAGATCCCCAATTAGACTCTCTGCTGACTTCTCATCAGAGTCATCTGATGATGGCCTAAGGGTCTGAGTGCCTGTCACTCACATGGGAGACCTGGATTGAGCTCCAGGTCCTAGGTTTGGCTAGGACCAGACCTGGATTTTATGGCCATTTTGGAATTAAAACAGTGGATATTGTTTACTCTATCACACTCCTTGTTGCTCTGCCTTTCAAGTAAATAAATAAAAAATTTTTTCAAAGGAAAACAAGTGCACAAATGCTAGCTCTTAAAATAAATTCTTTTGAAACCATAGCAATTAAAAATGGGGTGGACAGATTTTGAGAGGACATTAGTCAGAGTCACATAATTGTCTACTTCAGTCCTAAGCTTGCATTTATCAGATCTACTTCCATCAAAAACTGGCTCTTCTTCTAGAATGGATTTTTCAAAGAAGGAGCAGTCATCACTTTCTTAAAATGTTATTTAAGGTATACAAATTACACATATTTAATATATGCAGATTTAGGATCATAGTGATACTTCCCACCTTATGCTCCCTCCTTCCCACTCTCCTGCCCTTCTTCCTCTTCCCTCTGTTATTCCCACTCTTAATTTTTTTTTTTTGGACAGGCAGAGTTAGACTGTCAGAGAGGCAGAGAGAAAGGTCTTCCTTTTCCGTTGGTTCACCACCAGATGGCTGCTACGGCCGGCGCGTTGCAGCCGTTGTGCTGCGCCGATCTGAAGGCAGGAGCCAGGTGCCTTTCCTGGTCTCCCATAGGGTGCAGGGCCCAAGCACTTGGACCATCCTCCACTGCCTTCCCGGGCCACAGCAGAGAGCTGGACTGGAAGAGGAGCAGCCGGGACAGAATCCAGTACCCCCGACCGGAACTAGAACCCAGGGTGCTGGCGCCGCAGGCGGAGGATGAGCCTAGTGAGCCGCGGCGCCGGCCTCCCACTCTTAATTTTTGCAAAAATCTGTTTTCAGTTTACTTTATACTTATAAGGTTAACCCTACATAAAGAGTTCAACAAATAGAATGAAGATAAAAACACTGTTCCTCAACAGAAGAAACAAGGACTATAAAAGATCATTGAATCTCGAAGTGTCTATCTCACTCCAATACATTAGATTTTAGGTACTCTATTAGTTACCTCAGATATGGGAAAACATATGGTATCTGTCTTTTGGGGACTGGTTTATTTCACTAAGTATAATGGTTTCCAAGTGCGTCAATTTTGTAGTAAAAGACAGGATTTTTCTTTCTTTCTTTTAAACTGAGTAGAACTCCATAGTGTGTATATATCATAATTTCTTTGCCCAGTCATCAGTCGATGGACATCTGAGTTGATTCCACATCTTAGTTATTGATATTGAGCTGCTGTAAACATGGTAGTATCGATAACTCTTTATATGCTGTTTTTGTTGTTGTTTGGGTAAGTTCCCATGAATGGACAGATAACCATACACGAAGAGGCTGCCAATTGCAGTTAACACCTGATGAAGGTTAAAATAGTTCAGTAATTTTCAAAGATCCGCTGTTTGCTGTAAAGTGTGGGAACAGCATAACTCCCCTGCACCTTGCAGATCTTTCCCAGTGGCCCTCCATTCTGCAGTTTCCCAAAGGAGTTCAGCGTTGGGTTTGGTTCAGTATCCCATCTGTAAGATCTGGCAAGGAGGGAAATTTCCAGAAGCTGCAACTTAACCTTCCTACAGCAATAATTCTAATTTTCTGTGTTAGCCAATACAGAGAATCTGCCAGCTGCCATATATACTCATTACTATTAAACATTCTGAAACTAGACAAATAACCTTGGATGCAATTCACAGAAATGTGGGCAATGTGTGATTCTAACCCAGCATATGTTCCTATTTATTATCGGACTCTTACAAACTTCACATTGTTATTTAGTGTCCCTAAGAATTTGTGTCAATTCAGAAAAATTTAGATTTTTCTTCTTCTTCAATGCATAATTAACTGAAGTCTCTTTTGACAGGGACGGAAGAAGACAGAGGGTAGATGTCTATGGCAGTGTTGCAGGAGATCCAAAACTCTCCTTTAGTCTGTAGGCTCTAGGTCTATGAAACACTTAGCTCTGTGATTAGGGCAGAGGACATGATTCCCATTCAAAATTATTCAAATCAAGGATTTGGCCTCTAACCTGGAAATTTACTTGTTATACGGATAATTTAATGGTTTATTAGGCTGTACATTTACTTCATTTTGAGTAACGTGAAATTGAAGATCTCCATGAGTCAAAACTTCAAATTCAGTGTACAATGCACTGAACATACTCACCTAATCCCTAGCAATAAGTGTAACATTACCTTCATGGGATATTCACGTCAGTGACAGCTTCCATCCACATTGTACCTGGCCTTGTTTCAAGGATGTGGCTGTTTCTCTCACTTGTGTTATTTCTTAATGACTTAGTGATGGGATGGCCCTTTGGGGATCCTTCCTCCTGAAAAAAAAATGTGGTGTTCAAAGGGCTGAATCTCCAGGATAAATCAATTAATTTATGTATTTGAAAGAGTTACAGAGAGGCAGAGGCAGGGAGAGAGAGAGAAAGTCTTCCATCTGCTGACTCATTCCCCAGATGGCCGCAATGGCTGGAGCTGCACCGATCCAAAGCCAGGGGCTTCTTCCAGGTCTCCCACATGGGTGCAGAGGACTTGGGCAATCTTCTACTGCTTTCTCAGGCCATAGCAGAGAGCTGGATCGGAAGAGGAGCAGCTGGAACACTGCAGGCAGCAGCTTTACCCACTATGCCACAGCACTGGCCCCAATAAATCAATTCTAACTTGCCTGTTTTCCTAAGGCTTTGGATTATTTCCTATTTAATATACCAAGGAAGTTCTTGTATCATAATCTCATTGAGTTACCACTTGAAGTTTTACTCAAGCAAGGGTTTCATGTTAGAGCACTTCACCTGCTAAACTAGCATATGAAATTCAGACTCTACCGGGTGCACTCATACAAATAAACTTTTCCTTATTCATTCTTACACAGTCTGAAATTTATTTTGGAGTGTGATCTCTTTCCTTACAAGTCACTTTGTACATATCCCCTGGAGCAAGTGCAGAATGAACAATAGTTATAAGATGGTTGGAGTGAAAGGAAGAGGGGTGAGGGAGACAGTGAGATCTTCTGTCTCCTAGTTTATTCGCCCCCAATACCTGGGGCTTCGCCAAGCCAAAGCCAGGAGCCAGGAACTCCATTCTGGTCTCCCACCTTGGTGGTAGAAACCTAAGTACTTGAGCTATCATGTGCTTCCTTCCCAGGTACCTTAGCAGGAACCTGGATCAGAAGCAGAGTAGCCAGGACTCTAACCAGGCACTCCAATATAGAATGCAAGTATCCCAAGTGGTGGCTTAACCCATTGAAACACAACCTTTGCTAAATGGATTTCATCCTTTAAATAGATCCACTTTCATTATCCTAATTCACTTACTGTAAAAGTTTTATTAGGTGTATATATGTTCAATTATATTTTCCTTTTGGGTTCTTTTCATTGCCTTGTGAAATATGTATTCTTCTCATTCTATTTGCACCCTTTCTTGTATTTTGCATGTTACAACTGTTCTCCTTCACTATGGTTAATTTTTGGGTGATTTCATTTTGATTATGAATTGATATTCAGAGGACTTTTAAATTTTTCATTAATATTAATAGAATAGTTTTTGTGTATTCCACAGATACAATTCCAAGGAGGATTTTTTCCTGTGGAATTTTCACTTAGCCTGGGATCCCTCCTAAGAGGGTTTACGTTTTTCTTCCCATATAATTCAGCACCTTGTTCCATGCTATTCATTTTGGTCTTTGTGTTTCATTTTACTTATCTTTTGCTATGTGTGTTATTTTGTTTGCTTTTCTATCAACTTAAGTTCATTTCTCAGCTTGTGGCTCCCTAAACCACAAGAGTAGTGCAGATTTGTACTCCATGCCAATGTGGTTATGCAGTCTCAGTGGAAACCTTTCTGTTCATTGTTTTTTTACCCCCTGAAAGAACTTGTCAACACAAATAAACTTGTATGTCTTCTACCTTTATTTCAAGAATTTTTTCTTTCTTGTTGTTTTTGTTTACTTTTTTTTATATCTATGCTTTCGCTTACATTTTCAGCCTTCTGATTTTCAGCTCCACAGGAATTTCATTTCCAACCTCCTTCCACTCGCCTGAGGCCACGGTCTGGTCTCTTGGGAAAGTTTCCTGTTTTTCTGGAACTATTCTGCAGGGAAGTTAGGGATTTCAGTTCTATTTCCCAATCACTTGTCTAACTCTTTGTTTTTTACCCCCAAAGATACCCTTGCATTATAGTGAACACACTAAAAATGATTTGTTATATTTATCCACATAGAAATGTGCATTGTAATGAGGTTTTCCATAGCCTGTATTATGCATTATTGCCAGAAAAAGAAATGCTGATATTTATATTTTAACTTCAACTTTGATGCAAGAGTTTCCTAGAGAATCATTTTGAAACTCCAAGTATCTATGAATGTTGATATATAATTTTGAATTTTACTGGAATGCTATTTTAAGTATGACCTGTATATTTAGCCACTTGGGAAATTTACTGGAATTTCTTAAATGGCCCACTGTATCAACCAACTTGAGCAATATTTTGAGGAAAATGGAAAAGAAGAAATAATTTGAAACAAGAAATGTCAATTCTCAATCTAATAACAATCTATCAGAGTATTTTATGTCATTTATCTTATATCTAATTTCTTAGAAAAGTTGAAAGTGGTAATAATATTTTCCAAAATAATTGCCTTGTTTTTATCTCCTTCTCTTTTTAACTAGCAGTTTCTTCTCTATATACATCAATATCAGGTTATTTGCTTCTTAATGTTTGATTATGCCAGGTTATATCTTCAGTGTTGATATCAATGTTTATCTTTCTTCCATTTATTAACTTTGTTTTAGAATTATATTTCAATGGCAACTAATGTCCCCCATCCCTTAATTTAATTAGTATACTACATATATCTTTGCCCATCTTTACCTTTTTTACATTTGTGTTCTTTTGTTTTTGCGTAAGTTTTGTGTAGAGTGCATATTTAGACATTTTGGAGTGTCTAAAATTTAATCTTTGTATTTCTCAAGTGAGTTTAGCTCTTTTCTAATTTATGGTTCTACATGAAATATTTAATCATATGCACATCACTGCATTTCATGCTCTGTTTACTTTGTGCTTTCTTTTCATTTCTTTTTACTTGCATTTCCTTGTATTAATATTTTGTTTGCTTAATTCCAGTGGTGATTTATAAGGCATCTTGATTTTAGGTTTCTACTGATCATTTGAAAATTAATATTTTAAAATTTTCATGTGATATGTACATGTAGAATTTTCTACATTGATACAGGAGTGCTATCCATTGACTTCCTTCTATGAAAGATGTTAAATGTATTACACTTTACCTTTACCTCCTCTCCTCTAACCCCAGCCTCAAAATACATGTCAAGTTTAATAAAAGACAATCTGAACCAAGTAGATCCAGTTTCATCTTAATGCATGTTATGTGCGTTCCATTTAAAAATTATTTATATATTTACATGAATTTTAGAGCTACTGATTAACTAAAACAAAATTAAAATAATTCCAATTATTACTGGCTGCCATTTTATATTATGACTTCTTCATTATTGGGATCTCTGTTTTAACTAATCTGTTAATTGATGAATTCTATCAGAAGTGAACATTAGCAGTGTATTTTCTGAGAGTTGGTATTTGAGAAAATAACTTTCTGTTACCAAAGTACAAGACCAATAACCTAGTTAAGTATTAGGATTTTCAGCGATAACATTTTCACTTAAAAAATAGTAGCAATTAAAAAAAATGAAATCCTGACATTTGCAGCAACCTGGATGAAACTGGAGATATTTATGCAAACTGAAATAAGTCAGACACAGAAAGACAAACTCCACGTTTTATCTCACATGTAGAATTTAAAATATTTAGAGTATTGGGGCCAGTGCTGTGGCGTATTGGATTAAGCCTCTGCCAGTGCTGCCGACATCCCATATGGACTCTGGTTCAAGTCCCAGCTGCTCTACTTCCAATCCAGCTCTCTGCTATGGCCTGGGAAAGCAGCAGAAGATGGCCCAAGTCCTTGGGCCCCCGCATCCATGTGGGAGACCCAGAAGAGGCCTGGCTTTGGATCAGTGCAGCTCTGGTTGTTGCAGCCAGCTGGGGAATGAACCAGTGGTTGAAGACTTCTCTCTCTCTGCCTCTCCTCTCTCTGTGTAACTCTTTCAAATAAATAAATAAATCTTTAAATATATATATAGAGAGAGTATAAAAATGCACAGATGCCATATTATTAGGTATCTAGATGGCTATATACATTGTCTTCACTGAATTATACCCTCTAAATAGTAATATATCCTTCTTTCCTCACTTTTTGATCTTTGTCATGAATCCCATGTTCTGTGATACTAATATCACTGATTTCAAGTATAATAGTATACCTTTGTTATGTATAGAATATCTACATAGGAAACAAACACTGTGAAAACACTAACCCCAGCTATGTATATTAATACATAAATAAATATGGGGGGAAATGTTTTTTTTCCTTCAGGTGTTTGGTAATGTGTAATAATTCTGATGTCAACATTTACACAATTTTAATAATTAAAAGAAAAATCAGGCAGAGGTCCGGTTGTCCTTGGGGAAAAAAGTGAGGTATGAAAATTCTCTATAGCTTATGTACAGCCTTTGACTCTCTTCAATTCCTTTCATGTTATCCACTCCTGCAAAAGAAGCAAACCTTTACAGGATGTTCTTCTACCCATTGCTTAATTGCCCACACTAGAGAGAAGGCATGGGATAACTGGGCCTCCCCTATGTTAGGAGCCATCCTTCATGCTGTCAATTCTCCACTTGGTTTGAACTATGCATACCAGAAGCAAATACTGCATCCCTGTAATTCTACTGGTGGAACCCAAGGCAGTATGATAAAAAAAAAAAAAAAAAAAAAAAACAGAAAAATAATCCAAGCTTCATTCCCTTGTGCCCCTGCTGCAAGTGCTACATATCTAATTTTCCTTCATCATTTACAACCTGGTTTAGATAATAAAAATTATTCTACTCCCCATCCCCAACCTTCCATATTCATTTATACTTCTGAAACCAACTTTTGCTCCTTATAACAAGATGCACAGCCAAGATTCATAAGTATTGGCATTACCCACACAAAACAAAGACTCTCTGGAATAAAAACAGATGAAATAGATCTAAATGGCTCTGTTTTGATTTTTTAAAGATTTTCTTTGCAATTAGAGAGACAGCACAAGAAAGACAGAGAGTTCCCATCCATTGGTTCACTGCCCAAATGCCTTGGATGGCTGGGGCTGAACTGAAGCAGAAGCCGGGAACTGGGAACTGAATTCAAATCTCTCACATGGGTGGTAGAAACTCAAATGCTGAGTCATCACCACTGCCTCCCAGGAAGCTGGAGTCAAGAGTCAGCTGGGGGTTGACCTCACACCCCAGTAGGAAACCTGGCTATCTTAATGGGTATAACATTAGGTCAAATACTCTCCCCTACTTTGACTTTTCCTGAACTTACCTTTGGTTTTGTATAGCATCTGCCTTTGTAAAAGATATTAAAGGAGAGCTTTCTTTGGAACTCATAAATGTATTTACCGTTAAGATACTGATGACAATGTTGTTAATTATCTTGTACAGTTGGGCTGTTATGGTTAGGTTCAGCCTTAACCTAGGTTTTAAAATATTTTCACTGAGCAGAATTATAAATCTTGTTCTCATAGTACATCCCAAAACCCAAAATTAGCCTATTATAGTCCAGTTTCAGTATCTGAGTTCTGCTCTAATAAGGCAATATCTTTTTAAAAAAATATTTTATTTATTTATTTGAGAAGTAGAGTTACAGACAGTGAGAGGGAGAGGCAGAGAGAAAGGTCTTTCTTCCGTTGGTTTACTCCCCAGATGGCCGCAATGGCTGGAGCTGCGCCAATCCAAAGCCAGAAGCCAGAATCTTCTTCCGAGTCTCCCACATGGGTGCAAGGGCCCAAGGAATTGGGCCATCTTCTACTGCTTTCCCGGGCCATAGAAGAGAGCTGGATTGAAAGAGGGACAGCCAGGACTAGCACCGACACCAATATGGGATGCTGGCACCACAGACGGAGGATTAACCTACTGCACCACAGCGCCGGCTCCAGCTATATCTTATTATGTCTTTGTTCTTGTTCTCCTCAGTCCTCCTGGGTAGGAGGCTGCTGTTTCTAAACTCCAGATCCTGTGGTAGAATGATGTCCATCTGGTGTCAGATGACTGCCCTGATCTAAGCTCTTCCCCACTCCGTACAGCCTTCTGTTCTCCGTGCAGCTCTTGCTCATTGATTGCACCTTTCACTGGAGCCTGCTCATTTCCTTCCAACTGCATGCCCCAAAGGCTCTCCTGGTTATTCTATCATATCTCAGTGGGTTGGTGTGTCCCTAAGAACCTAATTTCTTATTCACAACCTGTCCTGACATTCTCCAAGCCCCCACCAATAATACAATGCTGATTTTTCACCAAAACCAATTACCTGGAATTGCCAATGATTCAGCAATTATATGACAGCAATAAATATTTGCATATTTTCATACTATTTACTGACTATGCCAGAATGTATAAAAGGAGGCTTTCAAGGCTCATTCCCAGTCATCTGATATTAAAAATCCATCCCATTAAGATGACAGGGTGGCCATTTGTTACAGCATTTAAATCAGCATTTGGGATGCCTACATCCCAGTTCCCTGGGTTTCAGTATTGTTTCCATTTCCAATATCACTTCCTGTTAAAGCACCCTGGCAAGCAACACGTGATGGTTCCAGTATTTGGGTTCCTGCCACCCACAAAAGAAGGAAAACCAGATTGAATTCCAGGATCCTTATTTTGTCCTGGCACAGACTCAGCTGTTGCAGACAGATAAGGAGTAAACTAGCAGATAGAATCTCTCTCCCTCTCTCTCCCTCTCTCTCTCTCTAATATGTAAAATAAATAAATAAGAAATATAAAAATATTAAGATAGTGCCTACTCCATTCTACACAATTTTATCTCCTTTCACATGTAAATAACTGACTTGTTCTTGGACATGCACTTTTAATTTGCCTTTAATCATTCTCACAAAGGAAGCTATGTGCGGTTATTTTTCGACCATTGAGTAGCATGAAGAAGCAATAAACACACGGTATCTCTACTTGTTTGGTACACCTCTAAGTAAACCTTAAAATTATTTCCACAAAACTTTTGTAGTAGGAAAGTTGTAATTAAATCATTGAAATTTTTATTATAAGTAATGAAATGTTTATAATATCAGGCAGAAATGAATTTTTTTAGAAATTCATTTGTATAGATAGATGTGTAGACCAATGGAACAGAATAGAAAATCAAGAAATTAATCCATGTATCTATAACCAACCTATCTTTGACAAAGGAGTTAAAATCAGTCTATGGAGCTAGGACAGTCTCTTCAACAAATGGTCCTGGGAAAATCGGATCTCCATGTGCAGAAGTATGAAACGAGACCCCTACCTTATACCTTACACAAAAATCTATTCAAAATGGATCAGAAACCTAAATCTACAACCACCAAATTACTAGAGAACATTGGGGAAACTCATTAAGATATTGGCATAGGCAAAGACTTCTTGGAAAAGACCCCAGAGCCACAGGAAATCAAAGCTGAAATATGGGATTACATCAAACTGAGAAGCTCTGTACTGCAAGAAACACTCTGCAAAGTGAAGAGGCAACTGACAGAATGGAAGAAAATAATCGCAAACTATGTAATGGATAAAAAATTAATACCCAGATTCAATAAAGTGCTCAAGAAACTCAACAACAACAAAATAATCCAGGTAAGAAATGGGGAAAGGAGTTAAACAATACTATACAGAAAATACCTGCAATTTTTAGACATACCATTGTAATCCAATGAAGTCATTTAAAAAGTAAGCTCCAGCAGACCACAAGGAAATGTAACTAAGAAACTTATTTACAAGATGCTTGACATTTATAAGGAAGATAGATGGCTTTTGGAAATCTAGCACCCATCATTACTGGGGTAAATCAACTCTGCAGGGACTTGCTCTGCTTATAGGATATGGATAGATAGTTTCCTTTCCCATTCTGCACCGAATACAATTTGTAGGGGGAAAAAACTAAAGCACTTGATCTCCTTGGGAGAAAATAAAACCATGGATGAGGGAGAGAAAACATGACCTGACAATATTATACCTACTTTATCACATAAGTGCAAGAAACAGTCATTCCCAAATGTGAAAGGTATCAAGAGAACTAAAGACCTTTCTTAAATAAATCTCTTAACTTGAAATCTTACCAGTCAGCTAATTTGACCAAAACAAAGAAATAAGGAAAGGAGAATATGTGTTGAGCACTGAATTTATGGTTATGAAAAAGAATTCATGTTTTTGACAATGGAAAATACAATTTGAGACAAACCGGGTTCTAAAAGAGAGGAGATACAGGAAGTAAAGTAATACTTTCAAAGTAGGTAATGAGTCAATATTGTCCAAAATTAGAATATGGAATTAAGGTAACACAATGACTCAAACAAGTTACACACTCTTATTTAATACCTGTTAAGTAAAATAAAGCAGCATCTGCAGGACAAGATTTTAGGTACTTTTTATACAAAAGATCCAACATGTGTGCCATAGTACCATAATACACAGTAGACTGAGTTTCTCATTTTTAACCAAAAAACAAAATCTGTTACTTATTTATTTTACTTTTGTTCTCTCTTAGAATCCATAGATTTAAAGGCTCCCTCTGGTGGTTAAATGAAATATAAATGTTATTTGTTACTAATATATAATTTAAAAAGCTCAAATAAAAACCAATGATATATCTTGAAATAACTTTGTATAGAATATGAAAGTTTTCTGATTTTTGATATCTGGGACTCATCATGATAAGGCAATTGTAGTGATGAATACGATGATGACATAATTTTTCTCAACTCTATGACTCGTGCTGATTGCTACAAGCTTGAACAATGTAGTTCAAAACCATCTGGCAAAAACACGCAGGCCGGCACTGCGGCTCACTAGGCTAATCCTCCGCCTTGCGGCGCCGCCACACCGGGTTCTAGTCCCGGTCGGGGAGCCGGATTCTGTCCTGGTTGCTCCTCTTCTAGTCCAGCTCTCTGCTGTGGCCAGGGAGTGCAATGAAGGATGGCCCAAGTGCTTGGGCCCTGCACCCCATGGGAGACCAGGAGAAGCACCTGGCTCCTGCCATCGGATCAGCGTGGTGCGCCAGCCGAAGCGCGCCGGCCCTGTTGGCCATTGGAGGGTGAACCAATAGCAAAGGAAGACCTTTCTCTCTGTCTCTCTCTCTCTCTCACTGTCCACTCTGCCTGTCAAAAAATAAAAAAAATAAAAATTAAAAAAAATAAAAAACAAGCAAAGAAGGGAAAATTAATTAAAAACAAATTATACATTTTAAAAAGTACAATTTAAAAATTAAGTTTCTAGAAAGCAAAATGGAAACTGAGAAGACATTTTGAGGTTTTAAATAGCACAAAAGTTCTGAAGTGTTTAAATATCAATAAACACAGAATCAAAAATATTAGAAACATTTTCATTGTTATAAGAACTATGTGATCATTACTTTGACAAATTTTTCTAGCAACTCTGAGAAAAGATATAATAGCTTTAATAGAGAAATTTCGCTTAAAAGTCTGATAGAAGCGTTCATTTCTCTCTTACTCTTTCCTAGGTCTCCTATGAAGGACTGGACTTGTTGTATGGCTCTTCCTCAGCTTCTCTCTCCTTTCAACGAGCACAGTCTGCTTCTGTGTATCATGAGAGCCACAACCGCCTGCTGGAACATGGGAAATCGACCTGGAAATTCTATTCTGCTGAAGTTAAAGGAAGCAACAGAAATTCCTACTATTGTCAGGCAACTTTATCAAGCACATTATCTGGCTAATGATATAAATAGCATTAAATGGGGTGGCAAGTGGATGTTCTGGAAGGAGAGCATCAAGAGGAACAATGGTTTTTAATTCTGGAAAATCTTCCGGCTACGTGAAGACCGGTACCTCCTCCCATCATTTCAGTCTTCACCAATTCTTTACGTTTTTTTTTTCCACATGAATGCACAAGGACATCAGGAAGAAAATAAGTCATATTAATCTCTTCCTCTGTAACTGATTAAAGCACAGTTTTATTATTCTACTTTAATAAGTAAATAATAATAATAATAAAGTTCAGAGGGAAAAGGCAAAAAATCTAGGAAGACAAAATTACTGCTGTAGGCTTATAGACTCTGCTTTCAGAATTTGACCACCCTCAGAAACTCTCAAACAATGTTACATGAGGAAAGCATATTTTGCCTCACCTCTGAGACCATGTACATCTATTCACACAAGTGTACTTGCTACACATTCATCTTCATGTAGTCCAGACCATCTTTAGGTAAATACAACAAAACGAGACAAAGGGTTATCTGTCTCACAAGGTCATAGGACCTGGAGTTCCTCCTGCCCTGCCCTGGATAGCTCCACTGAGTGGTCTGAGAAAAATCTTAGGAGCTAGTTACTTAGCTGTTGATTGTATAATCAGGGAGAAAGCTTTAAGAGCAAAATTAAGATTGAGGAGCACCTCTAAGATTGAAAGATGGCAAGGGTAATGGCAGTCACAGAGAACAAGGGCCCCCACCTCCCAGTAAATACTTTCTATACCCACAGAGTTGTCTTCCAAACATGCTTCAGTTGGATATTTGAAGAGCCATAGTCCTAGGAAGAAAAAAGTACATTCTTAGGTCAAGTAGGCTTGGAACATGGTTCAAATTGTATCGCCTATTAGGGATGAAAAAAAGAATATGAAAGAGGAATAGAGGGAGAAGAAGAGGGAGTAGAGGAGGAAGGAACAGATAAGAGGAGAAAGAAAAAACTCAAGGTAACTTTGATTCACTTAGAATTTCTCAAACACATATGACAATTAAACCTGTCTTTTCCATTTGAGCAGTCTATAAACACTCTGAGGAACTTATATGCAACTTGTTAATAGAATTAGCTTCATTAATAGAATTCATGTGAATGTAGGAGCTAAAAATATATTTTATATGTGTGTATATAAATATATAATTGTATACAATTTACAATTCCTACATGGCTTTGTAATGGCCTAGTGCTAGACATTCTCCAACCTCTGGATCCTCACACACTGAGATCCTGATAATAATGTTCTTGGGTGGAGCCCAAAATATGATATATTTATAAGTACCTGGGTCACCAGAAATTGCAAACCCAACGTAAACAGTAAAAAGATACCACTTTCTCCTGGGTTGCTTATCCTTGGTTTTCCTCCCAATTTCCCTCCCCTTTTTGCTCAATGTTATTATTGAGGAAAACTCATCATTCCTCTCCTTCCCTAACAGTTGGTTCAAAAGGGCAAGAGTAATGGCAGCAAAAAGAAGCAAAAACAAGAAGAGAGAATATGGACACAAATGGACTCTGGACCAATCTCCACCTATCTGCTCTTATGCTTAATCTCTGGAAAAAGACCTCAATGCTTCTCTGAAAATCAGATTATTTTACACTAAGCTCTATAAACCACACCTAGAGTCATCACTTAGAGAGAGCTTACCTAATTTTGTAACTAAATGGGTGAAAGAGAGAATATAAAAGGGGGGAAAAAAGACGTTTGGTGTTTGGGGCTAGTGGGAATTCCTATTACCAGTGTTATCTTTGTATGAATATGGGTGAAGTGAATGGATACAAGGAGCTCAATAATCCACAGCCTTGGCCACAGTTGGAAGGACATCTGAAACACAACACTAGGCTTCTGGTGATTGCTTCTACGATTCCCACATGCAACCTCACCATCTTGTCAGTCCTGAGAATATCGCCATGAGACATTTCAGTGATACATTTCTTAAACTTCAATCTCCCAGAAAGAAAGAGCCTAATGGGCCTGTACCCAGATTCTGCCCTTCAACCAGGTCGGATCTTGTTCTCAAGATACTCTTCAGTGGCGCTCTGCCATGACTGCCTGACTCTACCATTGTGTACTCAAATAATGACATCAGGAAGCATTTGGTTACAGCCAAGCCCTAGTAACTGGTCTCCCTATGCACAGGGCCTGACAATCTCCTGAAATGTTGATTCCCACTCCATCCTCAGCTCTGACCCTTTATCTACTTTTTTTCAGTTTCTAACACTTGATGGCATTTCTGGACTCCAGGCTCAGTAACCAGACTGAACAACACTAGGTCACCTGTCTGAGGCTACACCCCATAGATAGATCTTGTCAGTCCCTTCTGTTGTGTATCAATACTTTATGATAAGGGTCCTGACCCTAAATCCTGGCTCTCTAGGAAGTACCAACCACCTGGGCTTCAAATTGCCTACAGAAGTGTAAGTCATACATGCCATGTCCCTGCAGGACTCTAGGGCTGCATTATTAGGAATGAGATGGATTCAGTTCTCCAGTCATCCCCCTCCCCTCACCACCTGGCCACCGTCCATTGAGCCAGCCTTCTGGGGAGGCTAGTTTCCCACTCTGGCTTGCTTCCTAGCTTCCAACAAGACCTCAGCAGACTTAATGCCAGAGCCCCCACTGAGATACTTATATCCAAGCATTTAAATTTGAATTCCTTCTCCAAAAAACATTGACAGCAGGTGTGAGAAAAGCATTTTATGGACTGTAAAACCCTATTTTCTGCCCCTGTGTCAGTTGCCTACCTGGGTTCCTAGCCTATCTGATATGTTTTTTGGAATCTTGATGGAAGAAGCTATGCCCTTTGACACTTACATGCTGTGAACCTGCAGAATAAACATCACTTGGAAACTTGGACACTGACAAGGTTTACTGTTTGCCCCTCCAGAGTGGTTTGCTTCAGCCACATCTGAAGCCACAGGTGTGGCTTAGCCAGGGAGAGCTGCACCAAAATGCAAAGAGGAGAGCTCCGAAACAATGCTGAGCAACACACGCATGGAGGATGCCTTGAGCCCATACCCCCAAACCAATCTGTCCTCAACTGTGAACTTGAAAGAGGCTGTGCAACTCCTTCAGGATTTTGTTTAGAAATTGCTTCCACTAGATGTGCTGGTATATCACTCTGAAACTCTCCCTAGCTGTCCATATTATCTAGTAGCATTCTGGAACTGCCACTTACAGAAACTCCAAGACAACTGAGACATTCCCTACAGCTACATTCTCCTGTGCTCTCACCAAAACTGCCTTCCATGCTCCATTCATGGCACTACAGGCATTTTCTAGCCTTCTTTTCTGAACTCATTCAGCTTCTGTCCACTACCCAGTTCCACAGCCACTTCCACATTGTTAGGTATGTATTATAGCACACTCCGCTTTTGCTACCAATTTTCTGACATAGCCCATTGCATGCTGCTATCACAGAATACCTGGGACTGGGTAATTTATAAAGAATAGAAATTTATTTCTCAGAGCTCTGGAGGCGGGGAAGTAAAATATCAAGGTATTGGCATCTGATGGCCTTCTTGGCATCTTTGGTAGGAGGAGAAAAGATAAAATAACACACTTTTGTGCATGAAAGTGAGAAGGGGGCTGAACTCATTCTTATAATGATAATGATATTAATGCATTCCCTACATATATACAGGAGACCATGAATCAAGTAAGCTGTTCTGTATTGCACATAGCAGGCCAAGCATCTCTTACACAGATGGGGAAAAGAGAGAGGGAGAACAGAAAGGCAGAAAAGAGAACTTTAGTTAAATTTGCAAGGATAAAATTTAGAAGACTTTTTCTTTGTTCTTAACTTCTCCACCTGCAGTTAGGAAATGATGCTCTTGTAACAGTATTTTCCAGTGTGTTCTACTAATTTTTTTTCTTTGTGATACTTTCTGGAAGAAAAACATAGAAAGGTATTGAGTTAAAATAATTTCTGGGAACTATTGAATATTGTGTCTGTCTTGCAGAGTCACAGAGCTCTTTGGTGTATCAATGGTGTTGAAAAGCTCCTCAGTAAACAATCAAGCTTACTTTTGCTTCATTAGTGTTAACGTTTATTTGACCATGGAAACCTTTTCTACTAACTTTTCTTAACATGACTTGGAACTGACACCTGAGGAACAGTCTTTGAGGACCACAGAGATGTTGACTATCTCATGTTTCAAATGACCAACTGCCCTAAAGATGTCTTACTCATTTGTTTTCACATGAAAGAAAAAGGTTTTGTGAGAACCTTTACAAAAACCTTCTTCCGAAAATTGAGAGATATATACAAAAAGAAATAAAAATGGAAAGGAAATTGTTTATCAGTTCTGAAACTAAATATTGCCAATGTTCTATCTCAAACTTTTGGCAGGAATTACTAACAAATACAGTCAATGTGCAAAGAAAAATATCCATTGTTAATGTGCAATTTCCCTTTTTTTTTTTTTTTTTTTGGAGGGGGGACAGGCAGAGTTAGACAGTGAGAGAGAGAGACAGAGGGAAAGGTCTTCCTTTTTCTGTTGGTTCACCCCCCAAGTGGCCGGTACCGCCGGTACGCTGCGGCCGGCGCGCTGTGTGGATCCGAAGCCAGGAGCCAGGTGCTTCCTCCTGGTCTCCCATGTGGGTTCAGGGCCCAGGGACCTGTCCCATCCTCCACTGTACTCCCAGGCCACAGCAGAGAGCTGGACTGGAAGAGGAGCAACCGGGACAGACCAAAGCCCCTACCGGGACTAGAACCTGGGGTGCCAGCGCCGCAGGCAGAGGATTAACCTAGTGAGCCGCAGTGCCAGCGCAACTTCCCCTTCTAAAAATGTGCACCTTTCAGGGCGGTATGTAAAGCAAATTCTTTCAACTCTCATTGAGGGAGTAATTGAAGAAAAGGGCCAGAACCACGGGAAGACTGGGAAGAAAGAGGCTTGGCCAAGGATTGTCCCTATCCTACGCAAGCCTAACGCAGAAAAGGAAACAACTGCTCCTCACTCTCCTGCTATTGTTTTCTCAACAGGGCTACTCTCAAGTGTTACATATTTTCTCCAACATGGCAGTGGGAAGGATATTTATAATCTAGGGCCTCTAGAAGCAAGGGTGAGCAACGGTCACAGATGCAAATGAGATTGGACAGGAAATAGGAGGGTGGGGGCCAGTGGCCTCACCAAACTAAAAGCCCTTAGTCCCTGGAGCTTTTCTTCAACTTAACTCCTCACCTAACCAGACAAAAGTAGGTGAATAATCCACACTCCTAGGAGCACTCCTTCCCACTACCAATGCAGGATGCACATGTAATCCACCCTGTTGTTCTTCCCCCAGCTCCCTCACCAACCCACCTGCACTCAAACTCATGCAGCACGCTAGAACGACATGGTACAAATGCCCCCAGAACATACAGAGAAAAAACAAAGAAATAAAGCTTTTTGTAGATGTAGCTCTTTTCCCACCAGCCTCAGGTACAGCCTAACTGAATTTATATTTTGAAGAATGAATTAAAATGGCAGCCAGGTAAACAGAAGGTAGAACCTCAAATAATCTGTACATGCTATTTTTGGAGCAAAATTACATACAGTCTTCTTGACTCAAAAATGTATCACAGCAAAGGTTGTATTTAAAATATGCCAAAAAGCACAGCATGCAAAACACAGATTTAGCAAATTCTCTGCAAAGAGATTTACTTTAGAAGAGAACAACTTCTTAAAAAGGAACTACAGTGTCAAGGGAATTGTAAATCTATAAAATAATATAAACTATTATCTACAGAGACTTCCCCTTCTTTTAAGTTCCCAGGAAGATAAGTACTTTATATGAAGCATTCAACCCTGTGCATACAAGTTTGAAAATTTGTTTGAAAGACATTTTCATGAAAAAAATACAGGTGAACCAAATTGTCTCCAAACAAATCAATAAATGAAAGCACTGACAAAGCTATTTTGTACAGCAAGTTGTTCCAGAAGAATTCCTTCACCTTTCAAGGCAGAGCTTATTTCTATGACCACAGAGGAAGAAGGAAAGATTCACATTGTTTTACAAGAAGTTAGTGTGACCCTAGCACAAACCCAACAAAGATAGCCCACAAATAATAAAACCACACCTCCATCGCAACATAAATTTAACAGGTCTGTACTAAAATGTTATCAAAATTCTACTATTATGTGACCAACTGATGCTCATTCCCAGAATATAAAAATGGTTCAATAATAGGTTTGTTAATATAATTTCCCCCACAAATAGGTTAAGAACATACTTTGCAATTGTTATAGTTATCAAAAACCTGTTCTACATCTTTCTTATCTTATTACTGAAGACTTTTAACATGATTTTAAAGAAAAAATAAAAGCTCAAACTAACAATCAGAAACTTTTTTCTAAACATTGTATTTAAGGTGTTTGGCACGCAGTTAAGATGCTGCTTGGGATGGCCACATCCCCTAATGGTATGTCTGGGTTCATGTCCAGCTCCACTTACAACGCTAGCTTCCTCGTAATGTGCACCTGGGAGGCAGCAGGTGACAATTCAAGTATTTGGTGGGTTGCTGCTATCCGTGTGGGAGAAACACAGTGAGTTCTGGGCTCTTGATTTCAGCTTGCCCTAGCTCTTGTGGGATTTTGAGAAGCAGTTGAGAAATGAACCAGTGAATGGAAGTTCCTTTCTCTCTCTCTCCTCCTCTTGGTCTCTCTGCCTTTCCAATAAAATGAAAATACATAAAAATTTTTTAAACATTGTTCTATAAATGCAACTTAAAGTGTTGCTGAAAAACGCTCTCTAAAACTATGTGAAGTGAAGATGGTAAAAGGGAAGCATTAGATAATAGAGACTCAGAATTTGTTAAATAACTTTGTTTGCATATAAAATAATTTTCTATATGAAGAAAAGAAGATATTGAGTAAAAATAACTTAAGGATCAGTGCCATGGCTCACTTGGTTATACCTCTGCCTGCAGCGCCAGCATCCCATATGGGTTGCTGGTTATAGTCCTGGTTGCTCCTCTTCCAGTCCGGCTCTCTGCTGGCCTGGGAAGGCAGTGGAGGATGGCTCAAGTGCTTGAGCCCTGCACCAGCATGGGAGACCAGGAAGAAGTACCTGGCTCCTGGCTTTGGATCAGCACAGTGTCAGCCATAGCGGCCTTTTGGGAAGTGAACCAATGGAAGAAAGACCTTTCTCTCTGTCTGTCTCTCTCTCACTGTCTATAACTCTATCTGTCAAATAAATAATAAAAAATTTTAAATATATGAGGTTAGAAAAAGCATCCGATTAAGAAATTAGTATTATTTTTTTGACAGGCAGAGTGGATAGTGAGAGAGACAGAGAGAAAGGTCTTCCTTTTGCCATTGGTTCACCCTCCAATGGCTGCCGCGGCCAGCACACTGCAGCCAGCACACCACGCTGATCCGATGGCAGGAGCCAGGTGCTTCTCCTGGTCTCCCATGGGGTGCAGGGCCCAAGCACCTGGGCCATCCTCCACTGCACTCCCAGGCCATAGCAGAGAGCTGGCCTGGAAGAGGGGCAACCGGGACAGAATCCAGCGCCCCCACCGGGACTAGAACCCAGTGTGCCAGCACCGCAGGCGGAGGATTAGCCTATTGAGCCACAGCGCCGGCTGAAATTAATATTTTTAAGTGTAGCTTTCCTATTCCAACAAACTAAAGAGCAAATTTAAATGAACTGTATCCCAGTCACAATAGTAACAACATTATATGCAGCAGCCTTATGGACATCAAAATGTTATTAGGGAGAAATGGGGATTCCATGTGCTTTTTTGTCCATGTTCCTGGTGTTCAGTTTTCTAAACTAAACAAAAACATGTATGGGTCCAGCGTGTGGCCTAGTGGCTAAGTTGCCGGTAGGGACACCTGCACTTTATAGCAGAGTTCCAGGTTCAAACCTCTGCTCTGCTCCTGATTCCAGCTGTCTGCTAATGTGCATCCTAGAAGACTCAAGCAGTTGCATCTCTGCTCCTATGTGGGAAACCTGGATTGGGTTCTCTGCTCTCATCTTTTGCCTGGCCCAACTGTGGATGTTGTGGACATCTGGAGAATGAATCAACAGATGGGAGGTTTCTCTCTGCTTCTGTCTCTTTTTCTCTTGAATATGTAAAATAAATGTATGTATTAATTTTATTATCAAAAATTTCAGACCTATTTTCTTTGAAACTTGAAAATAAAGTACTTTAGAATAAACATTGAAAAATTTGGCCATCTATTTTAATAGATGATAACAATTTAATAGAGACTCATTTCATAGAATTATTTTTTAGCACTAGAAGAGTATTTGAAGAGGCAACCGACAGAATGGGAGAAAATATTTGCAAATTATGCAACTGATAAAGGATTAATAACAAGAATCACTAGCCATCAGGGAAATGCAAATCAAAACCACAATGAAGTTTCACCTCACCACAGTTAGAATGGCTCACATACAGAAATCAACAAACAACAGAGGATATGAGGATAGCGAGGATATGAGGGACAAGGGACACTAACCCACTGTTGGTGAGAATGCAAACTGGTAAAGCCACGGAAGTCAATTTGGAGATTCCTCAGAAACCTAAATATAGCCCTACCACACAACCCAGACATCCCACTCCTCGGAATTTACCCAAGGGAAATTAAATTGGCAAATAAAAGAGCTGTCTGCACCTCAATGTTTATTGCAGCTCAATTCACAATAGCTTAGACCTGGAATCAACCTAAATGCCCATCAACAGTAGACTGGATAAAGAAGTTATGGGACATGTACTCTATAGAATACTACACAGTGGTTAAAAAAAAAAAATGAAAACCGGTCATTTGCAATAAAATGGAATAATCTGGAAAACATCATGCTGAGTGAAATAAGCCAGTCCCAAGGGGACAAATATCATATGTTCTCCCTGATCTGTGACAACAATTTGAACACCTAAAAGGAAACCTCTAGAAGT